GGGGGGGGGGGGGGGGAGGGGGGCTGGTATACCTTTTTATTGGCTCAGGTGGGGTGAGGTGCAAAATATGGCGAAAACTCATTCACATTTTTGTTTTACATGAGAATAAAGATCGTAAAAAATCCAAACAGTTTAAGTTTTACAGGCAAAAGCTTTCATTTTACAGATTCGCGCCACGAACTGTGCCATGAGCTGTACCACAAGCTATAACACGAGCTGTGTTGATGTGCCACGAGCTGTGTTGCTGTGCCACGAGCTGTGTTGCTGTGCCACGAGCTGTGTTGCTGTGCCACGAGCTGTGTTGCTACGCCACTAGTTGTGTTGCTGCACCACGAGCTGTGTTGATGTGCCACAAGCTGTGTTGATGTGCCACGAGCTATTTTGATGTGCCACAAGCTGTATTGATATGCCCCAAGCTGTGTTGATATGCCCCGAGCGGTGTTGATGTGCCACGAGCTGTGTTGATGTGCCCCGAGCTGTGCCACCAGCAGTTACACGAGCTTTGTTGATGTGCCACGAGCTGTATTGATGTGCCACGAGCTTTGTTGATGTGCCATGAGCTGTGTTGCCAGCAGTTACACGAGCTTTGCAGATGTGCCACGAGCTATGTTGATGTGCCACGAGGTGTGTTGCCAGCAGTTACACGAGCTGTGTTGATGTGCCACGAGCTGTGCCACGAGCTTTGTTGATGTGCCATGAGCTGTGTTGCCAGCAGTTACACGAGCTTTGTAGATGTGCCACGAGCTATGTTGATGTGCCACGAGGTGTGTTGCCAGCAGTTACACGAGCTGTGTTGATGTGCCACGAGCTGTGCCACCAGTTGTTAGACAAGCTGGCTAAGTGCTCAGTTACAAATTAGGTAGTTCATTGAATGTAAAGCGACATAAGAGCTAATGGTGAAATAAACATTAGAAGAAAAAAAAAAAGAAGCAATAGAATTAGCTTCACCCATTTTGTGGTGTCAGAGTTTGAGGCATGTCCACTTTATTTCTAGACTCTTCACTCCCACCCTACGCGCCATGATACCCCTTTAAAGTCAAGGGTTCCCGAAGATGTCTCTTTTTGTGTGTGTGTGTCTTGCGAGACGTTATTTGAATCATAAAACTGACTTTACGAGATTAACAAAGTACAAAATTAAAGTTCAACTTATCGGCTTCAGAATCTCATCAGTTTAAAGCAATCTATGACTTTTAGCCATTGGCATTACGCCAAAAATAATCGGTAAATATGTGAACCTAATGTTTGCAAACATTTGAGGCCCATGACAATGTGTGTCCAGGGCAACAAGGCCAAGTTTGCGTTTCAGTCATTTTGTTCACAGGCTTTTCAAGCATTTGTGAACAAATATTTCAAAACTTTCAGCAAATAATTTTTGGGTGAGATACTGGAGGAAACAAAAGAGTATGTGTGGTTGGAGGGGGAGGGGTAACATGTTGAGTAGACGCCTGTAATATCCATCCATCAATCCATCCATCGATCCATCGATCCATCCATCCATCCATCCACCCATCCATCCATCCATCCATCCATCCATCTCTCTCTCTCTCTCTCTCTCTGTATATATATATATATATATATATATATATATATATATATATATATATATATATATATATATATATATATATATATATATATATATATATACATAATATATATATATATATATATATATATTATAATATAGTTGTTTAGAAGTTGTTAAAATACGTTCTTAGAAATATAATCGACTACATAAATATATTTAATAGCCATTTTACATATGCGGACTGGATGTTTTTCGACGTAAATTAAATGGTCAAATACATGGTTTAGAGGGAAAATGGTTATCTTATTGTTATTGAACTATATAAAAAAATAATATTATTAAAACTACCTGAAGTATATATGTCTTCCAACGTGTGGTATTCAACCAAAAGGGGCATTTTAAGCTCTTTGGAAATGTTTGAACTTATGATTTGAAAAAAGAAAAAAAAAGGGGCAATATTAGACACGAACACTCTTTTTTTTTCAAGCCAATGCCATTGAGCAATGCTAGTTACAAATTATTTGTCATTTATTGCTATAAATATTTATTTCAACATTGTAAGTTTTATTTTGTGCCCTACTTCATTAAATCTTGAGGCCAACAAATTAAAAATCAATACTCTGAAGCACACTGTAGATGGAGACCTTTTTTAATTTTTTGTTCCTCTTTTACTCTTCCACTAAAGGCTACTTCAAAGAAAAAAAAGGGGGGGGGGGGGGGGGGGGGGGTGGGTATCTTTTTTTTTG